GAGAAAATGGAACATGACAGAACCGCACAAAAGAGAAAAGTGATGTGGCCATAGAAAATTTAAGAATGGAACAAAATAAACATACCAGAGAAAATTACACATGGTAAGCTAGAGAAAATTAAACACGTGTGTATTCCATAATATGAAAATGCTAGAGAAATTTACAAACAACTAGAGAAAATGGAACATGACAGAACCGCACAAAAGAGAAAAGTGATGTGGCCATAGAAAATTTAAGAATGGAACAAAATAAACATACCAGAGAAAATTACATATATGACAGAGAAAATTAAACAAGGCAAGCCAGAAAAAATATGAATTCCATAATATGAAAATGCCAGAGAAATTTACAGAAAATCAGAGAAAAATAGGGAATAACCAGAAACAAATAGGGGAATAAACATGCCAGAGAAAATTCAAAGAAAACACATAGATCAAGCAAATACCAGAGAAATTCAAATGACAGAGAAATTTACAGACAAAATCACACAAACATCTTCAAGAATAAGTTCGAAACTTAGATAAATAACATTTTTCAAATTCATGTAGGTTTTTATTATGAAATTGAAATCCTAATTAATTGAAGGTTAGTCAACTGTGTTTCAGAGAAAAACTAGTTGGATTGGGGAAAACTTACCAGAGTGATGATGAAAACCCTAATTTCGAACTGAAATGGCCTGAGATGAAGATGCAATGAGATGAAGATGAACTGAGATGACGATGAACAATGAAAACGGGTCAGAGAAATTTGTGAGGAACGAATTGAAAAGAGTTTGGCAGAAGATTATGAAACCGTAATGGCGACAGTGAAGATGATAGTGAAACCCTAATTCTCATGTTCTCTTGCTCATGAAAATGGTTGGATGTTTGGAATGAATTGAGTCGTCGGAATGCAATCGAGTTGAGCGTTCTATGTTGATTTGTGAATGGTATTTTGGTCCAAAAAAAAAATAAAAACGCGCCTGTCATTAGTGAGGGACCTGAGACATCATTCATATTTTTGGTGTTCTTTATGCTGTAAATTACTCTTATTAGGGATCTTAAAAAAAATTGCCCTTTTTCTTAACTACTTAATAAAAATAAGTCAACATATCCTACTCACAATATTTCATGTGAGTAACTAATGACATATGATATTTCAAAACTATTTAATAATTATTTGTATAATTATATTAAATTAGTAAGATTTATTATATTTTTAAATTTTGCAAGGTGGTCAATGCGATTTTTTTATTTTATTTTTTATACTAACCACAACACCTTTTTTTAACTAATTAAAAATCAATGGCAGCTGATTTTTCTAACTGATATTGCGGTTACTCACAATATTTCATGTGAGTAACTAATGACATATGATATTTCAAAACTATTTAATAATTATTTGTATAATTATATTAAATTAGTAAGATTTATTATATTTTTAAATTTTGCAAGGTGGTCAATGCGATTTTTTTATTTTATTTTTTCTACTAACCACAACACCTTTTTTTAACTAATTAAAAATCAATTGCAGCTGATTTTTCTAACTGATATTGCGGTTAAGCTGTGAAAAGGACCTACAGATAGATAGATATGTATGCTGATAAAACAAATTTTTTTTTGGACTAAAATGACCTCATATGAAATAGGTCCCACTAAAACCACTCTCATAATACCAGTTTGGAAAATGATGCCCAAGTCCAATCATGGGCCGAAGCCCAAGTCCAATCATGACAATTACAACTTAACACATTACCCATTTTTCATCAAAGGATGAGACTTTTTTTATAGGTGAATTTCATTTTATTTTTTTTTTTATGCTGATAATAAAAATACACTTTTGAGTAGTTAAAACAAGAAAAATGTTCGAGGGCCACAAAAAGTGTGGTTTAAATGGTTTAAAACTGTCAAAACGACGTCGTTTTGCGTCGTTTTACGCCCAAAATGACGTCGTTTTGACAGTTTTGAGCCATTTGAGCTACACTTTTTTTGGCCCTCTACCATTGCTCTTAAAACAAATGGAGTTTTGTTTAAAGTGTAATGGATTTAATTTAAATTGAAGTATCCCACTATTTAAACTAATAAAGGCAGAATGTTTTGTTCATGTATTTATTTTATTGAGTGTATAAACAAAATCAAACTCTATGAATTTATTATAAAAAAAGAAATGAACTAAATTTCATAATTATTAAATGCCGTTTTTATTTATGTTTGAAAATAACATAATTTCATGTTTATTTATTAGTCTCTGACACTCATTAAATTCATTACAAGAAAAGGAATGAATTAAATTTCATAATTATTAAATACTATTTTTATTTATATTTGAAAATAACATACTTTCATGTTTATTCATTACTCTCTCACACTCTATTTGCAAAAGGTTAAAAAAATCAAAAATATATTGTGCCAAACTTAATGTGAAGTGCGAATATCATTACTTTTTTTAATTAATTGTTTTTTTTCTTTTCAATATTTGATTATTCCCTTCGCTTTATTAAGTAAGATTGACACACTTATTTCAAAAAATTAAGAAACACCGAAACATTTTGAAGACCTTAAATAATTGGTATGAGAGGAATTAGGATAATGAAAAAATGCATAGTGTATTGATAAGACTCAAATTAATAGAGCATTTCATCCATCAAACCAAATAGTCTCTAACTAGATAATTTTTAGAGGGAAAAATTACAATGTAGCTTATTTAATAAGGTAGAGAGATGCATTGAGCAATGGAGTTAATTTTAAGGTAATGACAATTAAGAAATTTAAATGAAAACATAATTGTTTCCTTATCATGACACCCCCCTATCATTACATACACTCTTGATATTGGTTGGCCTTGTTTATGTCTTACTTCAAGAGAAAGCATTCAACAAATGATGATGCAAAGAAATATTACAATACATACTTCATAAAAAAGAATGTTGTCTATTACCAATGATGAAGAGTATAATTTAATTTTTAGTGGAAAGAGAAAAGAAAAAATACATATATATATATATATATATATTCAGTATCCATATCCATTTTGTAATAATGATATTAACATTGATAAATTTATATGTAAAGTATTTATTATATAAAAAATTAACTTTAGCAATGTTATGGAATTTGGTGGATGCATGACTTTGCATGTGATTAAGAGATCAAGAGATGCACGACAAATTTTTGTAAATAAATAGGATCTAAACTCCACTTTCACTAAAATTTGATTCATCTTTGTTTGGTAATGTCTAAAAAAATCATATATATCTTTTATTTTTCTATTTTTAGTAAATTTTAAAAAATTTGCCTTACTTATTATTATTGTTATTATAACTTTCAAGTCTTTCTAATCTAAAAATATTTTAAAAAAAAAAAGAAAGAAAAAAAAGTATCATTAAAAAATAAAAGATAAGTTAAAACAAATTAACTTATCTGAACTTTTCTACAACAATGTGTTTGTTAGATTTTTCTAAAATTAATTTCACCCTTACATTCTAATGTTATATTTGGTTTGAGTTTTCAAATTATAATTCCAAATCAATTTCAAGATACATTTTGAAAACATGTTTGGTAAAGCAGACAATTTTTTAATTTTTGGTCTATCCGGTCGTCCGCCTGGACATCCTCTTGGATGTCCGGCCGATTAACCGGAACAGTACTATTTTATTTTATTTTATTTTATTTTTTGCAATTGCCAATCACCACCTGTTATTTGGAGGGGGAAAAAAACAAAACTATATTTGTTTTTTATATTTGTTATATGTATAAATTATTTTTTTAGACCAAAATGATATTATTTTTTTGAATTAAATTTCAAAAAGAGTTTGATTATGAGTTTTGAATATAATTTTCAACAGAGTTTTGAATAGTGTATTTGGTTATGATTTATAATTTTTTTTTTTCAATTAAGTTTTGAAAATTCATTTCAAAACTCATAACCAAACAACTTTTCTCATTTTATATACCACATAAAAAATTCAAAACTCTTTTCAAAATTCATAACCAAATAAATTTTCTCTTTTCCAATCATAATTCCAAAACTCACAAACTCAAAATACAACTATATTTTCAAATCATAATTCTAAAACACTACCAAATTTTACTATTTAAAATAAATAAATAAAAATATTGGCCTTAATGCCTTTTATTTCAAAACGAGTAACGTTGCTCCTATCACATTTATATACAATCTCTTATTTTACAAGTGCTTGAGAAATAAATATGAATAGTGAAATCTAATGACGTATTAACACTTATATGGTATACTAAGGCCTCGTTTGGAAAGCGACTGGTTTAGTCAAAATGTCAAAAAAGTTACTTAAAAAGTCAAAAAGTCAACAACTCATACAAAAAAATCAAAGATTCTCTTTTCTCTCTACTTTTTGCATATCTTTTCGTAAAAAGCTAAAAAGTCATCCTAAACATACTAGTTTTTTTAACTCATATTTTAGCCAAATAATTAAAAAGTTACTAAATTAATCCGTTCCCAAACGAGTCCTAAGGATGATTTGTGATTTAGTGTTTTTGTTTTTTTGGGTGATTTTTTAATTTTTTATGAGATAAAAAATTTAATGTGTTTATAAATAAAAAACTACTTAAATCGTATGAAAAAAAAAAGGAATAATTATTATGTGTGACTTGCCTTTCCTTGTGAGGTTTTAAAAGGAAATAAAGAATAATATCACGTTATCAGTAATATATAGTATCATTACATAAAAATGATGAATCCATCGAGGCTAAGTTTGACAAGTTGAAAATAAGTTAAAAAGTCAAAAAATTATTTAAAAAAGTTATCACTAGTCACTAAAAGTTAAAAATTACGGTTGCACAATTTTCAATCCTAATTTTTTCCTTTACACTAATTTATACAATTTTTTAATACATATTTTTTCATAAAAAATTAAAAAGTTAACTCAAACATCCATATTTTTTTTCTCAATTTTTTAATTTAAAAAGATAAAAAATACACTTATTTAGGACACTCTAAATAAACAACCCTTAAATAGGTAGGAATGGCAATATCGCTAGAATGACGTGTATGCCGACATGATGGGGGGCCGAAGCCACGTTCCTCTGGCCAAAGGACTACGTGTCCAGCAACTAACAACCCACACCACACACACAGATAAAAATACTAGTGATAAATACAATACAATACTCTACTCTACTCTACTCTACTCTACTGCACCCTCCCTCATTCCTTAATTCTCTAAATTTAGAAAAGTAACAATTTTAATGGAAAAACTAAAACTAAGAGCTGCTGGTGGTGGTGGTGGTGGAGCAGTATCAGCAGAAGCTATGTCCATCTGTTTATTCCTCCTCATCACCATCTTTCTATCTGCGGCATTTGGGATTGGGAGTGAGACTGAACAACAACTACTTCATAATAACAAGGAGGGGCTTTCTACGAAAGCATATACATCCCTCTCAGAGAGAGTAAAGGCTATGTTCTCTCTCTCATCCACAACACCACCACCAACACCAACACCAACACCAACACCAAGAATATGGAGCTCCTCCTGGAACAAGGCTCAATCGCTCTTCAATCAACTACAGGCTTACTTCTTTCCTCCTAATATTGAGTAATCATTACTGTATTATGTGTCCTCCACTTCATTTGTCCCTCCTTATAACTGTTTATTTTTCCAGCCGTGTTTAGTTGGGGATTTACGGAAGAATTTGAAAAAGTAATGGAAAAAATTAGATGATTTGTGAATAAAATACAAATATGAGATTCTCAAATTTTTACTAAAATTTTTATTAAATGTCTTGTATGGTTGTGGAGTCCACATAAAACTCACATAATATGGATCTCACACTCATGTTAGATATTTGGTAAAAATTTTAGTAGAACTTATGAGGCCTTTAGTATTACTCAATAAAATATACTTACATTTCACTTAATTTCATAATTTTTTTTTCTTCTTTTCATATATCTCTTTAAATCTCCTAACCAAATACAACGTTAATAAATATTTTTAATGAAACTAAAATTTTGAATTTAAATCTTGTTCAAGCCTTTAAATAATGACATAAAATTAACACGTAGCATCACACGTCACGTGAAGGCTTCTACACCTCCACTGTAGGCTTCTACACTCCCACTTAATAATAATATAGATAGGTAATAAAATTGTTGGTTATATTTTAAACACAACACTTGACTCGATAAATAAGAAGAAATTATATTTTAATATTTATTTTTTAATACAAATGTAAGCAAATGACGTATTTAATTTATCGGATTAATCTAATTTTCTTTTTATTAGATATTTTTCATAAATGATTTGTGCATATATTAAAATGAACGAGACTTGTGATTAGTCCTGAGCCACAACAGTGAATTGCTCTTTAAGAAATTCGTCTTTTGTAAGATAAAAAGGATATATTTAAAAATAAAAAGGTTTTTATGTTGTTGTGCGTGTGTTTTTTTTCAAAAAAAAATATGTAGTTTTAGGGGAAGAAAGGAAGTGGAGAGCGATGGTGGTGCGGCTGGAGAAAAGGTAAAAGAGGCAATGGCGAAGAGCTTCGGCAAGAGCAGAGCAACCGTTGAGGATTCTGCTAAATCAGCTGCCAAATTCGCCGGCGAAACTCTCCACATCACTGCTGATAAAGTCAAGAAAAGTTTCTCTCACCCTGACCCCCACCATCAAACATCTTCAGATGATGATCAAGCAGAGCTGTAATTTCCATATTCATTGTTTATAATAGAAAAAACAATAAAAAGGGAAAATATAGGTGGTATCCCATCCTTTGTTTAGTAAGCTTGCCTAGTACTATCTTCCCCTAGGGTTTTATTCCACATAGCCAAGAGTTTTCCAAAGCTTAGTTGGTTCTCTGTGGATGCATGTATTTGTCAGAGGATGCCTTCATAATTTTATATTTAAATTCTTGCATGATATAATGATTCGATAACGAAGGAAAATTATTCACAATTACTGGATGCGATTGTTATACAGGGCATTATTCCAAAAAAAAAGAAGAGAGACTTATTAAATTAACTGAAATATATATTTGAAAAGAAAAATGTGAGCAGTTAATAATTTCACCAAAGATTCACAACACTACATGGATTATACACTACAGAATAGAATAGATATTATACATATTTCATGATCGAAACTAGTGAATAGGCTGTCGAAACAAATCAGTATTCTCTGACCTGTTTGTCTGCCCTTTCAAAATTAGGATCACAAGTTTTCGCATTAGGATGATACCGGGGAGGGGGGGACCAAGGCAACGAAAGAGGCTAACAGGAAGGAAACAATCTCTCCCATGAAACATTCAAACATCATTTTCAATTGGAGACAGCGATTAATTGCTCATCTCTCACGATGAAACATTCCATTTGCGCAAATTCCACAACATGACAGTGACATCCACACAAACATTTCACTAGACAAAGGTCAGGTTTCATCCTCAAAAAGTCATTTGAGGCAACAAAAATCAAGACACATTTGTTTGTTTTGGAGTGATCAGTAACCACAAACGAAACACAAAACCATAAGAAGAAGAGCGCTTACCAACTGACTGCTCAGAATTTATAAAAGTTTTACAAACTTATTTGCTCAGTCAATGCTGTGCCCCCCACAAATACATATCAGTGTCTAATAGGGTACATCCAAAATTAAAACATAGAAGAAGCAACCAACTGACTCCAACGCTTATCCTTCACGAAATCAACCGATCAAACTTTGCTGAAACTGCAGTCACAAGGCAAACAGAAGCATCAAAACAAGATTAGCCATACACTAAGATGACTGTTAATGCCAAAATTACAAGATTATAACTTGTGTGGTACTATTTCATCATTGTCCCAGAGCAGAAAATACAATTTTGGTAAATTATAAGTCAGTGGATCAATACTACATAAAAAAAAACTTTCCCCACATGTTCATGGACGAACACACACACACATACAAGATGAGCACATGCACACACATGAACTGGAACATTAATTTATACGAAAAATGTCTAGTTCAAATTCTGCCAATAACACACCATCTGCCTTAAATGCTGAAGATGATAAGCTACTGTAGAAATATGTGACTAGATTAGATGTTTGTTAATTTTGATTTAGGATGAATGTAATATGAATCTACATAAAATAAAATTTTAAAAATTGAAATAAAAAATCGCCGTGTCTCCCGCCGTGTTCTTGTCCCCATTTTTTGAAAATTGCCATGTCCCGTGTCCGTATTTGTGCTTCATAGATATAGATAGAAAATAAAGCACTAAGCACTTTAGGGACAAACGTTGGATGGTGTCCCCATTTTCTTTAGTTGACATCCATAAGAATATCCATCCACAAACTTAGGTTGACTTGTGTAAAATGTTAATAAGGCTATGAAATGTAGAATCCATCAAGATTGCCAGAATTTTCTTGCACTTTAGGGACTAAAACATCGATTTAATAACATTGTAATTGTAACCCCTTATCAGAACGGAACAAACTTCCTCCTCCTACGACACCTTACGTCATAAATGTACCAATTTAAATGATAAAGTACCCAGGTCAGGCACTTAACAATTAGGCAAGGGTACATGATATGTGTAAAACATGTGTAGTAGGACATTCATTCCCTTAGCAAAAATATTCAGTAATTCGAGTTTACCATAAAACTAGGCAGAAAACCTTCTTATCATTGCATAAAATGCTTTTAAAAATGATTAGGTGTCACAGACATAAGAATTAGATAAATACAACACATGAACACATACACGAACGCAACATCATTATTCAAGTACATGTAACATAGCATATAGGTAATTTTAGAAGGGAACTCAAAGGGCATTTTTTGTTCCATCAAAGTGAGAAAAAGGCCTCAAAACCCAGAGCGAGTACCTTAATAATACATATACTATATATTATAGCAATGTGTTTTGGTTTCTTATAAACCAAAACATTTGCTACAATGTTAGGTATATTTACTTCGATTGTACAAAAACCGAACCCAAGTCTCAATACACTCCTCTTTTTTCCTTCTGTTTTCATGTTTTTTCATAGGTGGGTGGGTACACGTGCTTGGGGGGGAGGGGGAGATAGAAAGAGAGCAATTTAGTGTTCATTTTTTTAGTGTGTATAATGCATAGGGTGATCACATTTTTGGGTATTATACTCGGGTACAATTTGATGTGGTATCTTACATGACACTAACCACATCATTTGATGGGTCCGAACATTTATTTGTAAGGCACCAACTCAAATATTTTGTGGGGCATATTAAATAATGTGTTTAGTGCCATGCAAGGTGCCACATCATGTGGTTACCCAAATATGTACTTCTTCACTATGATCTTCCCAGTAGTTTTTTCTCGTATCTGGTAACTATTGGTATCTTTAGTCGGGAGGCCAGCCGGCCGGCCGATATGGGTTTGAAAGAGTATCTTCTCTCTCTCTATTGAATTGCTAGAATTTGTGCCTTTCTCTATATACTTGTAAGTACCAAACTTTCTCTCACTCTCTTGTCAAGGCAAGGCAAGGGAAAGATCTCCATATAATTAGTTTATATACTACTATTTCCCAAATATAAACTCATCCATCCATATATAGTGTTACGTTTGGTCTTTACCTTCCTTAGCATAAAGCTTTTTCGTTTATTATATTTGTACCAAATAGCATATATGAGGTAGGATAACTTTTCATGTTATCAACTATTGGGCCGGTTTGGTTCATCTTAAATGAACTACTTATAGCTTCTTTTCTTTTTATTTATTTATTTTTTTACACTTTTGGCATTTGTATCAAACTATTTGGTACAAATTCTACTTACAACTTATTGGACATAAATAGCTTAAATAAGATGATTATCTAGAAGCTCGGGAAGAGGTGTTCCTGGCTTTTGTTTTCTGATTATTAGATTTCAGCTTACAAGAGACAACACTAAATAAAACCATGGTGAAAATTGATTGGTTTGAACTTTAAAGAATACTAGTACTATTTCTAGAAGGATGAAAATATAAACAATGAATTTGTAAGTTAATCGATTTTATTTTGTACTTGTAATTCAAAGTGATATTTGAAGATATGGATTGAATTTTTATGAATGATTGTTACACCCAAAAAATTAAAAAAGCTTGGTCTTCAAGTTTTGATAATCGAGTGTCGGGGCCAGCATTCCTTCAGAGTGTCACACCTCGACTAATCTCGGGGCCCTGAGCCTATCGACCAGGCAAAGATGCAATGGCCCGATATTAGCCAACTGGGGGTGGGATTTGAACCTGAGACCTAGAGAGAGGAGCATACTCCCAAGTCCCTGGTCCCTTACCCTCAACCAACTGGACTGCTCTTACAAGTTAAGCTTGGTCTTAAAGTTACACCATTTTACTCCCAAAAAAAGTGAAAATATATAATACAAAATATTAATACCTTGTTGTGTCCATGTGTTTGTTGATAAGACAATTAGATGAATCGGACACATTGGACACATACCAAAACAGGCTGCACCCAACACTCGTAACATAGTCCATGTAACATGGCATATATGTAATTTTAGAAGGGAACACAAACGACTTTTGTTTCACAAAGGTGAGAGAAACTTCAAAACCAAGAGCATAAGTATGTTAATGATATTGTTACCAATAAATACAATATAAAATACAAGAAAATATATGACGAACAAAAAATGCATTCATAACTTTAGAAAACAAATGAGAAAAAGAAGGGTATGGTACCCACAAAAAATAAAAATAAAAAAGGTTTGGTCTTCAAAGTTACATTTGATGCAACATTATTCTTCACCTTTTATGAGCCAACCCCCACCTCCAACCTCCCCTTTTTCCAAGGATTCACTCATTTCCCATTGGCTTTCCTTTATAAAGCAACCAACCTAAACCATGTGAGAAGATGGAGAGTAAATCAACAAATACCAATTGAAAATAACCCAACAATAATCTGACTTAGATTGTTCTACTCAATGGGAGGACAACAGTCGGGAACGAACGACAAAGGCATGCAAATAAGTCCACATATTTTCTAATGACAACAATGGTTCAACATATTTCTTTGTTTTACTTTTCTCTTTCTTGATTCACAAAGCTTCACAAAAGATTGTCTAACCACGGACAGACCCATGTACACATGAAGAATATAAGGACCTCCTTCAAAATGAGATCGATACAATGTCTCGACTCTCGAGTAACACATTACCTCCTAGAATAAAAAAAAACCCCATACTAAGTTAGGGCCTATGAAGCACGGATACTCCGCAATAGCCCCCGTACGCGTATCGGATACGGATACGCGTCCGATACAACGGAATACGTATCAGATACGGCAAAGAAATATCCTTTTTTTAAAATTTTTTTTGAATTTCAGATATGTTTGGGATACGCGAGGATATTTTAGGGATACGGTCAGAATACTTTTGGGATACAGCGGGGCGAAAAAATAATTTAAAAAACTTATAATAGGGTCAAACTGTAAAATAACAAGAGTACTGTAAAATAAAACAACAAAATCAACAAACCAAACCCTAGCGAACAGCAGCAGCAGCAAAGGAGAAGGAGTCTCTATCAACCAACAGCAAGTTGTCGTTGTCGTTGATCAAGTTCGTCCTTCTCTCTCTCTCTCTCTCTGGTCTGGACAGATCTCGCTCGATCTCAATGAGTGAGAATCTCACTCACTCTCTATCCCTTCCTCTGCCTATATCGTCTCACTCTCCCTTTCAATCTCCTGTTAGGCTGTTTTTACAATACACATTTTTTTTGTTTTTTTATTTTAATATACTCTTGTTTTGGCCCCATTTGATATTAATGTCATTTATATGTTAGCTTTTATAAATATAAAATTTTAGATTATTAGTTTAAAAGAATTAAAATAAGTTGTAAATGTGTTTGATTAGGAAAAAAGTTGAACCTATTTGGCTAAATAAATTGTCACATTTTTTTTTTTTGCAAAAAATATCAAAAATGTCCTCAAAAGTTATAACTAAAACAAATATATGTCACTTTATTTGTTCATACATATTTAAGAATTTCAATTATGCTAAAAAAAACCCACATAATGTAGTTCAAAAAAATACATTTTATTTTTTGGGCCAAATTACCTAAAAAATCAAATAAATTATAATTCACAATTGCAACTAAACACCATAAATTAATTTCGTATAAGCAAATAAATTAATAAATAAACTTATTAATAAATAAATGAACTTTGTCAATCCCCTCCCCCTCAATTTGAATTGCATACTACATTACTAAAAATTGTAAAAATAATATTTTTTATAAACGTATCCCCGCCGTACCCATATATCCTAATTTTTCAAATTTTGTCGTATCGCCATATCCGTATCGTATCGTATCGTATCGTACCCGTATCTGTATCCGTGCTTCCTAGGTTAGGGCTAACAGTTGTTCCCTTACCCAGCTATGCCATACATAAATGGAAATGCAATATTAGTTATCCAATGAGCAAAAAGAAAAACATAATCTCTATTATGTGTAATGATCAAGCACCTGTCAACTAAGTAATTTAATTTGCAACAATTGATTAACAGCCAAACCAAATATTGGTTTACCATGTGTCCCAAGAAAGTTGAACATGTTAATGAACACATCCTTAACAAAAACTTTTACTCAAAATCAATTTCATTATCCATAGCTTATATCATTCCGTATCACATAACTTTAAAAATAATTCCAGAATAAAAACAAATGTCACCAAAGACTGAAAAGTATGTTTTCTTTTGGCTTGTCTATATACCAAATAAAAACATCAGAAACTATCACTCACGTGAATACAAACAAAGGAGTAATGATCATTTAGATAAAAACTCTTCACAATTGCTAATAAATTCACCAAAATAAACATGGCACACAATGTGTTCATTTCCGAAATTACTAACAAATAACATGTCAAGCTAATGTTCTCTTTGCTTGCTTAAAAATTGTAGAAGGCAAATAGAAAACAGGATTTAGATCGTCAAACAATAAATCAGACTTTCCAGGGATCTGAACAGCAAAAATCACATGAATCCCAAAAATTAAAAGAGTTTTGTGCAACAACAACGTTAGGCATTGTTTCTAGAATATGTCACTCGGAAATTGCAATGTTTACAATTTTCATATTCAAGGCCATCGTTTTAATTCCCAAACCCTCCCAATACTTCATTTCCCTTTCCTTTCATGGTTAATTTTCAATCAATCCAAACACATCCTATAACCAACACAATCAACAAAGATTATTGATAAAAACAGAAAAAAAAAATAAAAATACCTTATGATATGAAGAACAGATCGAAAAGTGGACTAAAATCAATGGCCACCATGCTCCTTGGCGTGTTGCTGGTGCTCGAGGTGGCGACGCTCCTCGGGGAGAGCAACGAGGTAGGAGAAGATCATTCCGCCAAAGCAGATGTGATAGAGAGGTTCGATTGAACTGGTCTGGATGTACTTGGCGTGGTAGCTATCGAGACCGCTCTTGATCGAATTCTTCACGTAGTCGATGGTGAAAATCGGCTTCAAGTGAGCCGGCAATTCCTTCACCTTCATCCCTTTTATCTCGTTGTAGAATTTCCTCATCGCCATTTTGTTTCCAGATAGAAATGTGAATCTGAAACCCTAACCCTAGCTTTTCGATCTCTCTTTGCGGGGATGAATATGATTTGGCGTTTCAGACTGTTCTGTCGATAGTTAAATTTTTGTACATGTTTTTGGAGCAAATTTGCTGACGGTCCTCTCTTCTTTGTATATTTAACAAATGGTCCCTATATTTTTTTTTTCAGATAAATTGCACTGCTCTCCCCTGAGGATTGATTTGGCACCGTCCATTCCTAACGACACAGAGTGGACTATGTGAACGGATTCTTTCCCTCTTCTGCGACATTAGAGCATCTTTAATGGTTCGTCAGATTTTTTTATTAAATATGAATAAAAAAAGATGATTTTCTCTATTTGATATTATCTGCTCCAACAGAGAAATTTGACTTTTCATTAAATTACTGGTCGACCAATCAATGAAAAACCTAACTATGATATTTCTCTCTTTTCCTATTTTTTTTTTTTTACTGAGAAAACAAAGAGGGGGTCGACCTCCTAGAGTAAAATTTTGCGTGAACTAGTCATTCAGGTAGACTTTCGGCCGGTCGTCCGGTGGGTCCACAATCAACGGCTACGCATAGTAATTTGGTGAAAGGTGCAACACATCTTCAGTTTCATGAAACTTTTGCTCCGTTCTCAATTTGATATCAATTTGGTAAAACTGTTGGAGAGAGAAAACATAATTTTTTTCATCAAATTTAAATTTAATGTTCAAACTAATGCAACGTTAGAGATTGTCTTAGGAATACATTAAGGTGCTATATTAATAAAATATAATATGATTAAAATAATATATTAATGTCCGTATAATTTTAAAATTGCATTCTCACTTCTCTCCAAATGAATATTCGTGAAAATATATTTTGTTGACATCGTCACAGAGCACCTTCTTTTAAAAAATAAAAGTAAAATACATTATTATTTTAACCCCAAAAAAATGTCTCTAATACCAAAGCAGTCTCAACATATTGTTATTATTTTTTTTTGAGAAATTATCTCAACCTCATTATATCATTGTTGAACTAATCATTTTATCATAGGATTAAAATCACATCATCAACCACTCTTCATTTTATTGAAAATAATTACCACGATAATATATTTTATTAATAGAGGCCAATATAGGAAGTGATTATGGTAATAATTTTGTATAATTTGCTCTAACAATCCATATTTATTTAAAAATATAACATAAATATCACATTCATTGTGGCATAATGAAATGTCATTATGTAATTTTAAATAAATTACATTCTTAAGTTTGAACAAATTTCACTTTGACCATTATTTTTTCCCAACTTGATCCATGATATTTTTTATTTTTTCTATTTTGCTCCAACAATCAAAGTTGGTCCAAATTTGGATTGAAAAATGTCCAACCGCATGGAATCTCGTAATACAATAACACGTTATTATTATACAAATTTAGACTCAACTCCACTATTTTCTTTTACTTTTCTCTATATGCCCCAGCTCCATGTTAGAAATGGTTTTAGAAAATATGATTTTTTTTTTAATTTTGGTCTATTTTTAGGTGAGATCTATACGTCAAAGTTGGCGGGTCTAAGTGGTAACGCGTTCTATGCCGTGTAGTAATTCACGTGATATATTTGGTTGCTCAAAATCATTATCGGGAGAATGAAAAATTGAAGCTAAAATGAACTCCATAGAAATGAAACTTTGGATGAAAATTTCTTAAAGTTTGAATAAAGGCTTGTCCCAATTTTGTGAATTTATAAGGCATGGGTTTGTAACTTAGAGAGGGCCTTAAGGGGCACCTCAAGTTTGTAGAAGAGAGAGGTTATGGACAAATTGGGCTAGACCCATTGGACCCAAAAATAAACAAACGCGCTGGTAGACTGGGCTGGCCTGGGCGTAGGTGCCTGGTGTGAGGTTGGGTTGGGCTTATCTGGCCCAATACTTTTTTTTTTTGGCAAAAAATATTTAAATTCAATTTTATTTTTTGGTAAAATAAAATATGTCCAAAGTTTTAGCCTTGGTTTGGTTTTCTTGCTAGGCTATATAATCACAAAAGACGAAAAAAAAAAGTTACAAAAAGACAAAAAAGCTACAAAACTACCAAACTAACCCATATACAAACAAAAAGTCAAAAAATCATCATTTCCAAATGGAGGGCAATTTTGTCATTTCAAAGTCAAAAAGTCAAAAAAACCAAACAAGAATACCAAACAATTAAAAAAGTCCCAGACAAAAAAAGGCAAAAAAGCAAAAAAGCCAACTAAAAAAGCCAAAACCAAATGACCCCTTAATTTCAAATTTTGGTGGAAAAAATTCAAATTTGGTTTTCACTTCTTCCGAATTTCTGTACAAATTCAAATCTGTTTAATATGATTTTTATCTGTTCGAAATTTAAACCCAACAGATTTGTATCTGTTCATTCAAACCGCACAGGTAACATACATGTTCAAACAGGTTTTGCACCTGTTTAATTCAAACCATATAGCCACGAATTTTCCTATATAAATGCAGTCCCTCATTTGGTTTTTACAAATAATTTTCGTCTATAATTCTATCAATACTCTCTGCATTTTGCTGCATACAATTTTCTGTGAGAAATAGTGTAAACACAAAGTGTGTTCGTTGTGCAAACAATTTTGTAGTGCTTCTATTGTTTGTTGTTGATCATTTTATCTTGAGAGATAGATGTCCACAATCTGAAAGTATCGTGGAAATGACGAATTTGTCTTAAGGGTACAGTGTTAAACACTGGACTTGATCAAAATCGACAAATAAATAAGGTAAGTATTTAAATTACTTTTAAATTATTTATTTATATCAATTTTTGATTTTATTTTTGTAACAAAATAAAAATCTGTTTTATTTTTTTTTTTATTTACTGGTTTGATTTTTGTAATCAAACAGTCTCTCTCCCTTCTTTATTTCTTCTGTTTGTTGTTAAGTATACAAACATTATTTATTCATAATGCAATGAAGATTGGCCAACAATCTTAAGACAGAGTTTTTTTTTTTTTTTTTTGGTATTTTCATTGTATTTATTTTTCTGTGCTTTCACAAATTGATACTCTGGTTGGAAAATACAAATAGTAGTAATATACTGTTTGACAAATAGTAGTAATATACTGTTTATTTTATTTGACAACTAGTAGTAATATACTGGTGTCATTAACAATTACAGAATATTAATTTGTGTTACAAAAAATTATTGTGGTATTTTATTTTTCTAGTTTTAGTAACAAGAAAAGTAAAACTATTTTATATTATAATCTATTTTCAAGTTTTAGCAACTGGGAAATTAATTTGGTTTTGGTTTTTCTTGATTTTTTGTAATAAGATATTATGGCTGTTGAAAGTAGTACTCCAAATCCGATCGTTACAATGACTCCGATCCTTATTCAGAACCATGTTCAAGTTCCAATAAATCATGGAGAAAAACTAAAAAAATTTACTGGCACTGAGTTTAAGAGATGGCAGCAGAAAATGTTGTTCTATCTTACAACTCTAAATTTGGCCCGATTTCTCCGTGAAGAGGCTCCAGTACTTAGAGATGATGAAAGTGATCGGCAAATTGTTGCCGCTGAAGACACCTGAAAGCATTCTGATTTTCTGTGCAGAAACTATATCCTCAATGGCCTTGACAACATGCTGTATAATGTTCACAACCTTTTGAAAACAACAAAAGAATTGTAGGATTATTTGGAGAAAAAAATACAAGACAGAGGATGCTAGCACAAAGAAATTTGTTGTCGGTAAATTTTTGGACTTCGTTATGGTAGACTCCCAAACGGTAATTTCTCAAGTTCAAAATTGTCAATTAATTTTGCATGTTATTCATTCTGAAGGTATCTCTCTTAGTGAGTCTTTCCAAGTCACTGCTTTAGTGGAAAAGTTGTCACTGGCTTGGAAAGATTTCAAAAATTATTTAAAATATAAACGCGAGGAGATGACCATGGATGAATTGATTGTAAGACTAAGAATTGAGGAAGATAACTGAAAAGCTGAAAAGAGGAATGGTAAAAATCCCATTGAGTCCAAGGCTACTGTGGTTGAACAAGTGCACAAATCACATAACAAAAAGATGAAGTTTACTGGAGATAATCCTAAACAAGGCGACAACAATGGCAATAAAAAGTTCAAAGGTAAATGCTATAATTGTGATAAGACCGGACATCGAACTTCTGATTGCTGCCGCCCTAAGCAGGATTGCAGAAGTACAAGTAAGAAGACTACCAATCAAGCCAATGTGACAGAACTTGATTACATCTCTGATGTGGTAAACGACATCAATCTCTCTGCTATGGCGTCTGAGGCTAATTTGGTTGGGAATCTCAAGGAATGGTGGGTTGACACTGGAGCAACTTGATACATTTCCGCGGACAAGAAGATGTTCACTACTTATAATGAGGTTGCAAATGGTGAACAACATTTCATGAAAAATTCTTCTACTTCTACTGTGGCTGGACAAGGAAAGGTGATCTTGAAGATGACATCAGGGAAGAAACTTACCCTCAACAACGTACTACATGTACCAGACATCCAAAAGAATTTAGTTTTTGGTTCTTTGTTAAGTAAAAATGGTTTTAGGCTTATTTTTTAGTCAGATAAATTTATATTAACAAAAAGTGGTATGTATGTTGGTAAGGGATACATGAGTGATGGTCTCTTCAAGTTGAATGTAATGACGGTTGTACCGAAACTTGCTATTAATAAGAATAACACATCTTTTGCTTATATTCTTGAGTCGAATTTATGGCATGGTAGATTAGGACATGTAAATTTTGATGTTTTCATAGATTAATTGGTTTGGATTATATACCAAAGTTTGAAATTGATCATAATCACAAATGTGAGATTTGTGTAGAAGCAAAATTAACTAAGGATCCATTTAAATCGGTTGAAGGAAAAACCAAACCTCTAGAATTAATTCATACTGATGTACGTGATCTTAAATTTGTTCAAACTAGAGGAGGTAAAAAATATTTCATAACATTTATTGATGATTACACAAAATACTGTTATGTATACTTAGAAGTAAAATTGAAGCTTTAGAAATGTTTAAACTCTACAAAACTGAAGTTGAAAATCAACTTAGTAAAACCATTAAAATAGTTAGAAGTGGTACGGGTGGTGAATATGATGCACCATTAAATGAATTTTGTGTACAACATGGCATTATTCACCAAACTATAGCACCTTAT